AGTTCTTCCAAGAACTTCAATGCCACTGGAACCTTTCATTGTACTTTCCATAACACGGGCAAAGTATGCTCCCTTATGGCTCACTATGCATCTTTGAAGCCCATTTTTTTCTTTTGGCTATTCAATGAAGACTCTTAACTGGAATCCCCTCACTGCTCCTCTCCTACCAATCCAAAGAAATCCTTGTGGGCAAAATTTGGAACACCACCAAGCTGGCTGAATCACAATTGGAAATACTCCTCACACAATCTTGACATGATAATCTCTAAGAATGAAAAGCAATATCGATGCAGCAACATTTCCATTGCTGTCACTCTCAGAGAAGCTAGCCAAGCCAGCCATGTCTACCAGATTTTAGATTTTCCAGAGAGAAGTTAGACACCAGTCCATTTTGTCCCCGCAGGTGGCAGGGAACATATTAAGCTCACATCAATTCATTGAAGATCCTCTCTTCTCATGGGGCCAGCACCCCAAACCTACCCCTTTGGGTGGAGAGGAAGGGTTCAAAGCTCAGCATTTTCTAAACAAATCCTAGGTACACTCAACCTTTTTAGACGCTCAGTTTTGGTGAGGGGTTTAAGAATTGCGTCCTGGGTCTTCAGTAACCTCCTCCTCATAAACCCCTGAGAGTGGCTCACCTCATCTCAGTATCTGTTATCTCTTGTATCTTGATGACTCAGTCATGACTTTCAAGCTCATATCCTTTTACAAACAATCTGTATGCACAAGCTGAATTCATAGCTCTATTCCTAATTCAACTGTTTACTTTGTACTCCTTTTCAAATGCTCCCAAAAGGTGTTATTTCTCCAGTACTTTGACAGGCAGATGGAGAGCACATGATTTAGAGAGCACAGAAAAATAAAGTATTTCATGTTTTAAAAATAATTTATAGTATATCATACATACTCCTTTACTCAAAGGAGAGACTGAACACTGAAAAATGCCCTTTTCATCCTCTACTCTGTACAGCCTCACAGACATTTATGGTTGAGGAATCAGGCTGCTTCACTGACACAGAAGATCACGAGTCCTGAGCCTGCCTCCGTGACCATAGGAACCGGCAGCAATGGCGTCAGAGGCCTGCACTGTGGCTTGTGTTTGCTCGGTGGTGTTATGTGGAAGGAATCACAGATGCTGAAAAGAAAACACTACATAAATGCCTTTCATTCCTTTTCAAAGGTACTTGCGGATCATTTCTAAAAGAAGTATATGAATTCCTGTGGTCATTTTTCTATCTTCAGCTTGAGTTAATAAAATTTATATTAGAAAAGAAGAAAATTTTTAAATGATGTAAAATAATAAGAACACAGACTTGATTATATGCATACATTATATATAACATATTTAAATATATATATATACACACATCACCAATTTTTAGTTTGGGCTATTAGTTTGGCTGTAAAGGAACTCACCTGTAGGATGGCTATGCCGTGACCCCAGTCAGACTTGTATAAAGTCACTTTAAACAAAAGTTGGCTGCAATAATTACATTGGCCTTTAGTGTTTGATTCATACCTGACTCCACTTTCCCTGATCCTCCACCATCCTTCCAGCTATGCTTTAGGCTTCTCAGATCACCTGCTCACACTGGTTCTACCCCATCGTTATTTCCAGCTTTATTCATTAATTTTTGGGGAATCCCTGAATCTGTACCCTGAAATAAGTTGCAACATGCCGGGTTTATTATTCATAAAGCTAATGCATGTCATATATTTGGTCCACTGTCTCAATAATGTTGGTCATTCATTGAAAAAAAAAGATAATGATTTTATCCAACAAAGAAAATTCAGAAGCCCCATCCTGCCGAAAAGAAGCTAGCAGTTTATTTGTAGCATGGGCCAGTGATTTTCCTAGCTGCGTTGACAATTAAGACTACAAAAAGAAGGCATTCAGTAGAAGCTGAATGGCCCAGTCTTTATGAGCATCTGCAATCCTGGCAGGTCTGTTCCAACACTAATGAATGAGGGAGGCCTCCTCTCAAAGAAAAATCACATGAAATGTCCAAAAATGAGCAAAGTCTACAAAGAAATGGTCATTTAGGAATCACTCAATACATGCAATAAGTTGACTTAGAGCTTACCATTCCAGCCCATCGGGTACTCCAAGTGCTGGCTGTGTATCATGTAACCCTAGGACTCTGGGGTGCTGTTGACATAGACAAGCTCACCAATTCTGTGTCCGTGTCGAGCCTGTCCGGCAGACAGAGCTGAGCGGGAGATGGTGGGCTCCTGACTGAGGGCTGCTGATTCCCTCATCTGTCCGGCTGCCCTGAGTGTCCTGGCTGCAGGAACGCCCTCAGTAAGAGGAGGAAGGACCAAATATGGTACCTGGGGCATCGGTAGGACTGCCTTTAGAGAGAAAGGAATGTGCGCAAAGACTGAGGATAGGAATCTTTAAACTCTTTTTAAAGTAACACTTCTAAATTCAAAAACTATCTGCCTAAAGAAAAACATATTTTATAACTTCTTGTGTGTGAGCCAGTTTAGACTGAAAAATTGTATATTGAAATTGTGAAAAAACCAATTGTTTCTGAAAATGGGTTATCATATATATATATAACAAAGCTTTTTGTTACAGAGTAGTTATGAGAATGCTTGATCTCACAGTGACAGGGGTGAGCAGTAAATGAAAGCACTGTACGGTATTATTTAGTAGTGAAGTGCTCCCTCTAGTGGGCATAAGTAGGAATGTCAACAAAAATGGTAAAAAAAACATTCCATTTTCTCTTTAATGTTTAAATCATGGCATTAAAGAAAAAAAGAGGGAATAATAGCTGTTTTCTGATGGGCCATATAAGCTGTAGTATAGTAGAAAGTGTTAAAGTCAGGGCATTTTAGGTCATTGTAAGGGTTGAGATGTAAAACCGTTTTAAGGTTTTTAGTGGAACAGGGCTTCTCACTCTTGGCACTATAGACATTTTGGTATAGACAATTGTTTGTTGGCGGGGGAGGGCTGTTTTGTGCATTATAGGATATCTGTCAGCACCCTGGGCCTCTATCTAGTTGATGTCGGTAGTGAAATCACCACCACTACCAGTGGAGACCTTCAAAATTCTCCAGATATTACCAAATATCCCCAGGGGAGCAAAATAAAACCCAGTTGAGAACCACTAAATAGAGGGATGGTATGATATGACTTCTTTTAATAGGATCACTCTCTGCTTCTGTTAAGCATAGCTTGTAGGCATAGAGATACCAGCTAGGAGTAGAGATGACGGAAAGTGGTCAAATTCTGGATATATTTTGAAGCTAGAGCTGACAGAAATTTTGAAAGGATAGATATGGAGTGAGAGAGAGAGAGAGGAGTCAGATATGGCACCAAGGATTTTAGCCTGAACAATGAGAACTGAGTTGCCATTAACTGAGATGGGGAGACAGCAAGAGGGGCTGGCTTTGGGTTTGTTTGGACGTGGAGGTATAGATCAGAAGCACTACATTTGTAGACATGTTACATTTGAGAGCTTTTTAGACACCCAAATGGAGGCAAGTTGCACTGGATATGTAGTCTGGAAGTTAGGAGAAAGGTACAGGCTGTTGCTCTAAGTTTGGGAGTCATTAGCTTATAGATATTTAATGCACTATCTAGCAAGTGTATATATATATACACATACATATACATATATACATAAGATATAAGAGCTACAAGGACTGACCACTGAGCAACTCCAACTACTCACTGCTAGAAGGAACCAGCAAAAGAAACTGAGAAGCAACAGGAAAAGTTGGAGAAAAAAAGTCAAGTGTGATGTTCTGGAAGTCATGAGCCTTTGCGCAGTTCTTCTCTTTACACAAATGGTTTCACCTTAATAACTTTCTTCTAATATTCTTATTTGTGAATATCTGTGACTTTCTGTAATAATTTACTGACCTTTTTCCTTTAGATTTTGAGCCCCCCAAAAATGATTTTTGAATCCTTTTTACTGGCACATACTATGTAATATGTTCAATTAATATTTTAATAGGAAAGTCCATTTCTGAAAAAAACTTGTACAGTAAGATAACATTCACTGAGATTCTCAATTCAAAATTAGCAGGAACTCAGACACAATTCAAATAACTGAGGTGTTTAAATTATGTGGCATTATCAAGGACTCTTAGCCATCAACATTGACTATACTGGATCCTGCAACAAAGGGGATACCATCCTTACCTTGACTTCAAGTGAAGTGTCTTAGCCTTTGTCTTACGTACTGGGACTCCTGGTAAGATTTTATTTGATGAAAGAAAATTAGTTCCATGGCTAAAAACTATGAAGCCATTTATCAACCCTATTATTCTGTTGTCATCAGATCCATCAAGAGACATATTTGAGAACTGAAGACACAGTCAGGCTTCATGTTATCTTTAAAGATTTTTAGCTCGTTAAACAAACAACTGCCTAATCATATTTATGTGCCAGAGATTATGTAAACTGCTTGTATATTAACACTTTACCTCATATAAGTCATTGATGAGCCCATAAATTGTTAATGACACAGATGAGGAAACTTGAGACTTGAAGGTATTAATAAATATACCCCCAAAACATCTAGTTAGTAAATTCCAGAGTTGGACTTGAAACCAGTCTGGACTCCAAAAATAGTGATCTTAAATACTAGGTTCTACTTCTTTACATGTATGACTATGAAATAACTATAAATAGTTTTTATAATGTAGGATTGCTTTTTTATGAAAGTTGGGGGAGAAAGGAAGGATGGAAACAGGATCAAAATAACATGATTATAGCCTCTAAAGAGAAAATGCTGAAAGAAAACATAGAAAATAGAATTGTGGGTGGTCTTTTTACCCCTTATTTCTTTTATTGTAATGTACCTATTTTTTTTTTCAGTGAGCATGTATTGTTTAAGGTGAGCTATAATTGTGGCAGGGGTGATGGTGGTGGGAACCCTGTTCCACTGAAAACCCCAAATGGTTTTATATCTCAGATTTTACAATGGCCTAAAAAGCCTTGACTTTAACACGTTTTCTTTATTATGAAAAAACACACTCACACAAAGTTGAATGGAACAATATAATGAACATACCAGTTACTCAATTCCAATAATTAACAATTCACAGTCAATCCTATTTCATTTATATTCCCTCTTTATATTATTTTGAAGCAAATACCAAACATCATGCCATTTCATTGTAATTATTTTAGTAGGTGTTTATAGAACCACTCTAAAAAATTAAACATATGTACAAATATTGTATTATTATGTTTACACCTGAAACTTGTATGTTGTGCCAATTATATCTCAATAAAAGAAATTAAACATGGCTGCAGTATGCCATTTTCACAAACAATAATTCTTTAATACCATTAAATAACCAGTCAGTATTTAAATTTTTTATTGTACCATAAGTTCTACTTTTTTTTTTCAAGTTTTACATTTCTTTGCTTCAAGATGCAAGTGAGGTACACACATTGTGACTGGTTGGCACCTCCTAAGTACCTCTTACTCCATAGGTTCCCCTTTTTCTTTGCAACTTATTGAAGAAACATGCTAATTGCATCCTTTGGTGTCATTCAACATGATCTTCTGTCCTATTTCCTGTAAACTGGGAGATGCTTGATCAGATTTAGATTTGATTTTTCTGGTAAACGCCCTCTATGGGTAGCAGTGTGTTCCTTCACCTGAAAGCATGTACTGTTAAGAATGTGTCTGTGTGCTTTCAGCAGCTGATCAATAGCAGGACCAATGCTTATTATCTCCATTGACTCATTAGAAGTTACAGATTGGTGATATTGTAATTCCATCAGTCCTTTTTCACTTATTAAATGGAATATATTTTTTAAAGAGTATTCCTCATTTACTGCTTGCCTGCCCCAAGGTACAGTTTGTATGGGAACTTTACAAAATATTGAATTCTTTTCTGTTTATTTACCAGTTTTCAAATACTGAAATAGCTTGCTAGCATCCTCCAGTGGTAATTAGTGCTTTGGTTTCTGTATGGCATATGTATCTTTATTATCATTCTGAACTCATGTATTTAAGCATAGTCAGTGTTTCGACCCATTGCAGTTATTATTTTCTATATGGCTATTCAAATTGTGCTATCTTCCAATTGGCTGATGAGTCCTTTTGAGAGCCAACTAAACAGTCCTTGACAGCTTCCTTGCTTTCTGGTATGACAAGATGCTGTAGGTTTATCTCGTCCTTTTCCTGCTGAATATGTCTATTTTTATTAAATATCAAGTTTATAATGATAATTAAAAACAGGACTATACAGATTTTATTAATATTTATATCTCCTTTCTCTTGAGCCAATACTTATAGTCCTAAACAAAAAATGGAATGATAGAATTAGAATCACGTAATTATTCACTTATCCCACAAGTTTATCCCACACAATAAGCCCAGAATAACAATACTGACTCTGACACCAACAATGATTATTGTCAACAGTGTAAAATGATTTTTGCAGATCTTTTTTTATCTTAGAACATATCCCACTAGGGAGGTACAAATTATTGCATTTTATAACAATTAGAATAGTTCTCTGTATGGTTATGGCACCAACCCACTATATATTTAGGTATATGTTTCATTTTTTAAAAAGATTGTTTTATATCATAATTTTGTAACTATATTTAAATGACTCCAAAGTCAAATCAAAACACGGTAAGTTCAAATGACTCTAGCATCTAAGATCGTCTCCTCCAATTTATTCCCCTCCCATTACTGGGAACCATTTTTTTAAATTACTATTAATCCTTCAATTAAAAAAAATATGAGTAGATACTTGTGTGTGTGTGTGTTTGGGGGGCATCTTCTTAAAAGATGTAACATGTCAGGGCACAGTTTCCTCTAAGTTTGCTTCTCACATTTAACAGTGTCATAAAGTAGTAGTTGAGTTTTATAGCTACATAGTGCCCATTATATGGATGTATCATAGGTTTTTAACTCCTTGATTTCAATTTTCTTCTATTACAAATAGTTTTTTGTTGTGTATATGTCTTTTCATTTTTGTGTTAGGGATAGATCCTAGAATTTGGATCTCTAGGTAAAAGCATAAATACATTTATAATATTACCAGTCATTAAAAGTTACCTCCACAGGGACTGGAGGTCAGCAATGGACTGATGCAATGCCCATTGGTAATGCAGGACAGCGTGTTTCCTCGCAACTGTCAACAAAGTGACTTGTAATGTTGAATACAACAGGTGAGAAATGGTAACTCCATATACTTTTAATTTTCATTTTTCTTATTATGAGTGAGGTTGAACATCTCTTCAGGTGGTTAAGAACCCTTTGCATTTTCCCAATGAACTATTTGTTCATTTTCTGGCCCAGTTTTCTACAAGCTTGCTGGTCGTCTTCTCTAGAAAAAAGTCAATCATTTTAGACAAAATAATTCCAAGCCTCTAATCTTAAACTTTTGAGATTACAATATTCTTGAAAAGTGTGACTAGTACTACACATTCCAAATGCAGTCATATCAGCATTAAACAGAGAAAAAACACTGGGCTTGTCCTCTGCCATTTCCTTGTCAGTTACAAAACAAATACTGCAACTTATATGTTAAGGCATTGTTGAGAGTTAAGATTTTTCTCTGCCCATAAGCTTGTCACAGCCAATTTATCCACAGCCTCTTAGCTGTCTGATACAGTGACTATACACTAACCTCCTTAAAGCTAAGTTTTAACTATGTGGCAAACTGGCTAGGTACAAATCACTTAAACCAAGCTACCTCAAAGTCCTCCTGGAAAATGGCAGGACATTAATAAACACCAATACTTAAATCCTTTACCCTTTTCTTGGCTGTAGAATAAAACAGTTGGAGAAAATGATACCTCCAAGTCATCTGTAAAATTACCCGGTCTTCCATCACTTCATTTTTAGAACTCTAGTGAAGATCTACCCAAACTCTCCATAAAATGCAGCTCCAAATAACTTTTTCAAGTTCATTCCCACCTTTTCCCAAAATGTCCTCCACTCATTTTTCCTTAAACTTTCTCATGCTTATAAAAAGTATCACTGGGGGGATCATGGGAAGATGGCGGTGTGATTAGTTCAGAGGAAATCTCCTCCCCAAAACATATATATTTATGAAAATACAATAAATACAACTATTCCTAAAAGAGACACCAGTGGATGCAGTACAACAGCCAGGATACATCTACATCTGCAAGAACTCAGCATCACATAAAGGGGGTAAGGTACAAGCCATGGCCAGGTGGGACCCAAACACTCCCCCACCCCAAAACCCGGTGGGAAGAAAGGAGTCAGAACAGGGAGGGAGTGAAAGCCCAGGACTGCTAAACAACCAGCTCTAGAAATCCACACCCGGAATGCAGACACAAGGTGCACGGGGTGCTGGATATTAGAGAAACGGAAAAGCAAAACCTGTGTGCAGGTCCCCGCAACTGGCACCCCTGAGACAAAAGAAAAGCGAGTGCTTTCTGCAAGTCTTAAAGAGACGGGGACCCCATAGCTGGACGAAGTTGTCCCGGCAGCTGGGAATACCGGGGAAACATAGGTGCCCTAAATGGAGGCAGTGCAGCTCTGAAGCCCCGCACAGGACTAGGCACCCTGCCAGTTGTTCCTCCAACTGGCGCGGACCCCGACACACGGGTCCAGTAGCAGGAGAGTGGGAGCACGCGCTGGGGGCGGAAGCGCTAGAAGGAACCGAGAGCAGATCCGTGCACTGCAGGGCTAGCCCAAAGCGGCGCAACCAAACAGCCTGGGCGTGGCTAACACGCACCGGCGGCAGTGAAGCCAGAGCCCGGTAGAAGCCTGTGCGGAAAAGCCCCATGCTCACCGGAAGCGGAACCAGAGGGAGCAGGAGCCGACCGGAATCCCAGCCCAACACACAGCCGCCTGGGCCTGATCCAAAGGCTGCTGCTCCCACACAGCTGCCCGGCAGGGTAGCCACTAGCATGGAGGAGTGCACCTGGCATGCCTGCCACTCCCCGCAGGGCTCCATGCTGCTCTGACAGACACCCCACCCACAGCAGCTTAGGAGATTAACCCAGTGGCTGCTCCAGGAGTGCAGGTAACCAACACAGGCAGCGGAGAAGGGCAAGGCATCCAGCAAGCAAGAAAGGACTTTCTTCTCCCAGCTGACACACCCACAACCTGCCTACAGTCACTACAATCACCATGAAAAGGCAAAAAAATCTGGTCCAGACCAAGATAGTTACACCTGAGAAAGGATCTGCAGAGGCAGACCTAACCAGTCTCCCTGAAAAAGAATTCAAAATAAAAATCATAAACATACTGACAGAGCTGCAGAGAAATATGCAAGAGCTAAGGGATGAAGTCCGGAGGGAGATTAGACGTCCGGAGGGAGATCACGGATGTCCAGAGGGAGATTACAGAAGTGAAACAAACTCTGGAAGGATTTATAAGCAGAATGGATAAGATGCAAGAGGCCATTGATGGAATAGAAACCAGAGAACAGGAACGCATAGAAGCTGATGCAGAGAGAGATAAAAGGATCTCCAGGAATGAAACAATATTAAGAGAACTGTATGACCAATCTAAAAGGAACAATATCTGCATTATAGGGGTATCAGAGGAAGAAGAGAGAGAGAAAGGGATAGAAAATGTCTTTGAAGAAATAATTTCTGAGAACTTCCCCAAACTGGGGGAGGAAATAGTTGCTCAGACTACGGAGGCACACAGAACTCCCGAGAGACGGGATCCAAAGAGGTCAACACCAAGACACATAATTAAAATGGCAAAGATCAAGGACAAGGACAGAGTATTAAAGGCAGCCAGAGAGAGTAAAAAGGTCACCTACAAAGGAAAACCCATCAGGCTATCATCAGACTTCTCAACAGAAACCTTACAG